GGGAAACGGGCCTGTTGTGTTTCGTTTAATTTTCGATCTTATTGGCTTGACTACTTGCGGGAAGGTCGAAAGCCAAAGAAAAGTTTGGGTGGTCTTCCACTTACTGATATCGCTTACCGAAACTTTAACTTAAGGAACTCACACGACGGAAATTTTGCAGCTATTTGGAAACTGCACACGTCATTTTATTGAGCACGGACGTGCGTACATAAAGATTTTGTTCATGTTGACGCAATAGGAATTAGATAGGACTAGCGCGCGCGCTATGTTATAATTATACATTACCGTGCTTTTTCCATTTTTTTCCTACTTATAGAAGGACACTCCGCTCACTGCAGCTGTAAAGAATCGTTACACTGATATTCTTAGGTTACTTTTAGAGAACGGAGCTGATGTCAACAAAGGAGTATGGGTACGTTAGATGCAAAAATTGTATTTGTTATTTCGGGTATAGGCAAAGTTTGAAAGTCAAGTTTTGTATGGTTGGTCGAATTTTTTTCGCTGTCCAGAAAAACGTTCCAAAAGCTGCGAGCTCTTTGTATTCCTTTCTTGTTGTTTCTTTGGTAACGATGTGGTGGCAGCCTAGTCATAAAATATTTTCCTCGCGAGCTGTTAGGAAACTTGGGTAGAAAGTAACGCAAACCTGAAAAAAAATATTATTTGGATACCAATCCTCTTTTTAAAGGAAGGGCTAAATTTGTTGGATGGTGGTGACTAGTCGAGAATGTTTCAGTTGAATTATCAGGATTGCATCGTGTACTGCGCATAAAAACATATGTAATCAGGGGAATAAGCGTGCACACATCCCTGGATCATGGTATTGGTTTTCAATCGATAGATCAGGTAAAGAGGTACGATGGTCTATAGCTCTCGAACGAGCACGGTTACCTATATTTTCTTTTCCTACTTTTTAGTGTATAAATTATCCTCTTTGAATTAGAGTAATTGATAAAAATCATGGATGGGAGGAAAGGTACTCCGATAAGTTTGCACCAAGCCGGCTTCTGGATGATGGAAATCATAATCTTGAAAGGAACGACTCAAAGGACGTTTTGATTACATATCGTTTAAAACTGCGCAGTTTTTCCATTAGTGAATATCGAACTGTGTCATGCGCTTGAGACTTTCTACCCATCATGTTCTATTGAAGTGTTACTTTGATAAGCCTTGCTTGAAAAGTTTTAGATGCGCATTCTTCCTGGATAGAGTATTTTTTTTTTGCTTCATTTTTAGTACCCCTTCGAAGCATTAATAAGAATTCTTATGATTTGGTGAACTATTGTACAAGCTAAAACTCCTTCTGACCTTAACTTGAAAAAGTCCTGCAGAATGTAGTTGTTCCAAACGCAGATTTATCCTTACCGTGGCCATTAAAAGAGGAGAATATGACCTTTATACATTACCGTGCTTTTTCCAATTTTTTTCTTACTTATAGGAGGACTCTCCGCTCACTGCAGCTGTAAAGAATGGTCACACGGAAATTGTTTGGCTTATTTTAAAGAACGGACCTGATGTCAACAAAGGAGTATGGGTACGGTAGAAGCAAAAATTGTATTTGTTATGTCGGGTTTAGGCAAAGTTTAAAAGTCAAGTTTTGTATGGTTGGTCAAATTTTTTTCGCTGTTAAGAAAAACGTTCCAAAAGTTGCGAGCTCTTTGTATTCCTTTCTTGTTGTTTCTTTGGTAACGATGTAGTGGCAGCCTAGTCATAAAATAATTTCCGAGCGAGCTGCTCATAAACTTGGGTAGAAAGTAACGCAAACTTGGAAAAAAAATTATTTTGAGACCAATGCTCTTTTTAAAGGAAGGGCTAAATTTCTTTGATGGTGTTTACTAATCGAGAATGTTTAGTTGAATTATCAGTATTGCATCGTGTACTGCGCATAAAAAAATATGTAATCAGGGGAATAAGGGTGCACATATCCCTGGATTATGGTATTTGTTTTCAATCGATAGATCAGGTAAAGAGGTACGATGGTCTATAGCTTTCGAACGAGCACGGTTACCTATATTTTCTTTGCCTACTTTTTAGTGTATAAATTATCCTCTTTAAATTAGAGTGATTGAAGAAAAATGATCGACGGGAAAAAGAGGTACTGCTGAAAGTGTGCACCAAACCCGTTACTCGATGATGGAAATCATGACCTTGAAAGGAATGACTCAAAGGACGTTTTGGTTAGATATCGATTAAAGCTGCGCAGTTTTTCCATTAGTCAATATCAAACTGTCTCTTGCGCCTGAGACTTTCTAACCATTATGTTCTTTTGAAGTGTTAATTTGATAAGCCTTGCTTGAAAAGTTTTAGATGCCCATTTTTCCTCGATAGACTATTTTTTTTTTTTGCTTCATTGTTAGTACCCCTTCGAACCAATTATAAGAATTGTTATGATTTGGTGAACTATTGTACAAGGTAAAACTCCTTCTGACCTTAGCTTGAAAAAGTCCTTCAGAATGTAGATGTTCCAAACGCAGATTTATCCTTACCGTGGCCATTAAAACAGGAGAATATGACCTTTATACATTACCGTGCTTTTTCCAATTTTTTTCCTACTTATAGGAGGACACTCCGCTTACTGTAGCCTTAAAGAATGGTCACACTGATGTTGTTAGGTTACTTTTAGAGAAGGGAGCTGATGTCAACAAAGGAGTATGGGTACGTTAGAAGCAAAGATTGTATTTGTTATGTCGGTTTTAGGCAAAGTTTGAAAGTCAAGTTTTGTATGGTTGGTCGAAATTTTTTCGCTGTTGAGAAAAACGTTCGAAAACTTGCGAGCTCTTTCTATTCCTTTCTTGTTGTTTCTTTGGTAACGATGTAGTGCCAGCCTAGTCATAAAATATTTTCCTCGCGAGCTGTAGGAAACTTGGGTAGAAAGTAACGCAAACGTGGAAAAAAAATTATTTGGAGACTAATGCTCTTTTTAAAGGAAGGGCTAAATTTTTTTGATGTTGGTGACTAGTCGAGAATGTTTCCGTTGAATTATCAGTATTTCTTCGTGTACTGCGCATAAAAAAATATGTAATCAGGGGAATAAGCGTGCACACATCCCTGGATCATGGTATTGGTTTTCAATTGATAGATCAGGTAAAGAGGTACGATGGTCTCGAGCTCTCGAACGAGCACGGTTACCTATATATTCTTTGCCTAATTTTTAGTGTATAAAATATCCTCTTTGAATTAGAATAATTGACAAATCATCATCGACGGGAAAAAAAAGGTGCTGCTAAAAGTGTGCACCAAGTCCGTTACTCGATGATGGAAATCATGACCTTGAAAGGAACGACTCAAAGGGCCTTTTTATTTAGATATCGTTTAAAACTGCGTAGTTTTTCCATTAGTCAATATGAAACGGTCGCATGCGCTTGAGACTTTCTACCCATTATGTTCTTTTGAAGTGTTACTTTGATAAGCCTTGCTTGAAAAGTTTTAGATGCCCATTATTCCTGGATAGAGTATTTATTTTTTCCTTCATTCTTAGTACCCCTTCGAACCATTTATAAGAATTCTTATGAATTGCTGAACTATTGTACAAGGTAAAACTCCTTCTGACCTTAGCTTGAAAAAGTCCTGCAGAATGTAGTTGTTTGAAACGCAGATTTATCCTAACCGGTGTCATTGAAAGAGGAGAATAAGACCTTTATACATTACCGTGCTGTTTCCAATTTTTTTCCTACTTATAGCAGGACACTCTGCTCACTGCAGCTGTAAAGAATGGTCACACTGATATTGTTAGGTTACTTTTAAAGAACGGAGCTGATGTCAACAAAGGAATATGGGTACGTTAGAAGCAAAAATTGTATTTGTTATGTCGGGTTTAGGCAAAGTTTGAAAGTCAAATTTTGTTTGGTTGGTCGAAGTTTTCTCGCTGTTGAGAAAAACGTTCGAAAAGTTGCGAGGCCTTTTTATTCCTTTCTTGTTGTTTCTTTGGTAACAATGTAGTGCCAGCCTAGTCATAAAATAACTTTCTCGCGAGCTTGTAGGAAACTTGGGTAGAAAGTAACGTAAACCTGGAAAAAAATTATTTTGAGACCAATGCTCTTTTTAAAGGAAGGGCTAAATTTGTTTGATGGTGGTGAATAGTCGAGAATGTTTAAGTTGAATGATTACTATTGCATCGTGCACTGCGCATAAAAAAATATGTAAGCAGGGGAATAAGCGTGCAAACATTCCGTGATCATGGTATTGGTTTTTAATCGATAGATCAGGTACAGAGGTACGATGGTCTATAGCTCTCGAACGAGCACGGTTACCTATATTTTCTTTGCCTAATTTTTAGTGTATAAATTATCCTCTTTAAATTAGAGTAATTGAAAAAAAATAATCGATGGGAAAAAAAGGTACTGCTAAAATTGTGCACCAAGCCCGTTACTCGATGATGGAAATCATGACCTTGAAAGGAACGACTCAAAGGACGTTTTGATTAGATATCGTTTAAAACTGCCCAATTTTTCCATTAGTCAATATCAAACTGTCTTATGCGCTTGAGACTTTCTACCCTTCATGTTTTTTTGAAGTGTTACTTTGATAAGCCTTACTTGAAAAGTTTTAGATGCCCATTATTCCACGACAGAGTATTCCTTTATTGCTTCATTGTTAGTACCCCTTCGAAGCATTAATAAGAATTCTTATGATTTGGTGAACTATTGTACAAGGTAAAACTCCTTCTGACCTTAGCTTGAAAAAGTCCTGCAGAATGTAGTTGTTCCAAACGCAGATTTATCCTTACCGTGGCCATTAAAAGAGGAGAATATGACCTTTATACATTAACGTGCTTTTTCGAATTTTTTTCCTACTTTTAGGAGGACAGTCCGCTCAGTGTTGCTGTAAAGAATTGTCACACTGATTGTTTAAGGTTACTTTTAGAGAACGGAGCTGATGTCAACAAAGGAGTATGGGTACGTTGGAAGGAAAAATTTTATTTGTTAGGTGGGGTTTAGGGAAAGTTTGAAAGTCAAGTTTTGTATAGTTGGTCGAATTTTTTTTCACTTTTGAGAAAAACGCTGCAAAAGTTGCGAGCTCTTTCTACTCCTTTCTTGTTGTTTCTTCGGTAACGATGTAGGGGCCAGCCTAGTCATAAAATAATTTCCTCGCGAGCTGCTAGGAAACTTGGGTAGAAAGTAACGCAAAGCTGGAAAAAAATTATTTGGAGACCAATGCTCTTTTTAAAGGAACGGCTAAATTTGTTTGATGGTGGTGACTAGTCGAGAATGTTTAAGTTGAATGATCAGTATTGCATCGTGTACTGCGCATAAAAAAAATATATAATCGGGAATAAGCGTGCACACATCTCTGCATCATGGTATTGGTTTTTAATCGATAGATCAGGTAAAGAGGTACGATGGTCTATAGCTCTCGAACGAGCACGGTTACCTATATTTTCCTTGCCTCATTTTTAGTGTATAAATTATCCTCTTTAAATTAGAGTAATTGAAAAAACCTCATGGATGGAAAAAAAGGTACTGCTAAAAGTGTGCACCAAGCCTGTTAGTCGATGATGGAAATCATGACCTTGAAAGTAACGATTCAAAGGACGTCTTGATTAGATATTGTTCAAAACTGCGCAGTTTTACCATTAGTCAATATCAAACTGTCTCATGGGCTTGAGACTTTCTACCCATTATGTTCTTTTGAAGTGTTACTTTGATAAGCCTTGCTTGAAAAGTTTTAGTTGCCCATTATTCCTGGAGAGAGTATTTTTTTTTTTAGCTTCATTCTTAGTACCCCTTCGAACCATTAATAAGAATTTTTATGATTTGGTGAACTATTGTACAAGGTAAAACTCCTTCTGACATTAGCTTTAAAAAGTCCTGCAGAATGTAGTTGTTCCACACGTAGATTTATCCTTACCGTGGCCATTAAAAGAGGAGAATATGACCTTTATACGTTACCGTGCTTTTTCCAATTTTTTTCCTACTTATAGGACGACAGTCCGCTCAGTGCAGCTGTAAAGAATGGTCACACTGATTGTGTAAGGTTACTTTTAGAGAACGGAGCTGATGTCAACAAAGGAGTATGGGTACGTTAGAAGCAAAAATTGCATTTGTTATGTCGGGTATAGGCAAAGTTTGAAAGTCAAGTTTTGTTTGGTTGGTCGAATTTTTCTCGCTGTTGAGAAAAACGTTCCAAAAGTTGCGAGCTCTTTCTATTCCTTTCTTGTTGTTTCTTTGGTAACGATTTAGTGCCAGCCTAGTCATAAAATAATTGTCTCGCGAGCTTGTAGGAAACTTGGGTAGAAAGTAACGCAAACCTGGAAAAGAAATTATTTGGAGATCAATGCCCTTTTTAAAGGAAGGGCTAAATTTTTTTGATGGTGGTGACTAGTCGAGAATGTTTAAGTCGAATGATCAGTATTGCATCGTGTACTGCGGATCAAAAAATATGTAAGCAGGGGAATAAGGGTGCACACATCCCTGGATTATGGTATTGGTTTTCAATCGATAGATCAGGTAAAGAGGTACGATGGTCTATAGCTCTCCAACGAGCACGGTTACTTATATTTCTTTGTCTGATTTTTAGGGAATAAATTATCCTCTTTAAATTAGAGTAATTGAAAAAAACTCAGCGATGGGAAAAAGGTACTGCTAAAAGTGTGCATCAAGCTCGTTACTCGATGATGGAGATTATGACCTTGAAAGAAACGACTCGAAGGACTTTTTGATTAGATATCGTTTAAAGCTGCGCAGTTTTTTCATTAGTCATTATCAAACTGTCTCGCGCGCTTGAGACTTTCCACCCTTTAAGTTCGTTTCAAGAGTTACTTTGATAAGCCTTGCTTGAGAAGTAGATGCCCATTATTCCTGGATAGAGTATTTTTTTTTTTGCTTCGTTCTTAGTGCCCCTTCGAACCATTAATAAGAATTCCTATGATTTGGTGAACTATTGTACAAGGTAAAACTCCTTCTGACCTTAGGTTGGAAAAAGTCCTGCGGAGTGTAGTAGTTTCAAACTCAGATTGATCCTTACCGTGGCCATTGAAGAAGAGAGAATGAACTTTGTACATTATTGTACTTGCTCAATTTTTTGTCTTTTCTACATTCTGAAGGACGCTCTAGTTACTGCAGCTGTAAAGAATGGTTACACCGAAATTGTAAGTTTGTTCATAGCGAACGGAGGGGATGTCAGCAAAGGAGTATGGGTACGTTAGAAGCATGAATTGCCTTGTTATTTAGAGTTTAGTCAGAGTTCTTTTTGTCAGATTTTGCATGGCTGTCAAAATTTTGTTGGAGTGTAGTCGTTCTAAAAACAGATTCAACCTCATAGTGCAAGCTACCTATAACTACGATCTTATTGGAGCGCAAAGGATGGTGATTGCCTAAATGAAGCAGCACGTATAAGATTTCCAAGGTTCAGCTGGTACTTAGCATTCTCGTCTCCAATTGAAAGCCACGCACACTCAGCGTAAACAGTGTTCATAAAAACAGTTTTGTTATTAGTTACTCCCAGATCTACGTAAACCTTGTTTTGTCTTATTTCTTGTGAAGTGGCGGATCTTTTCTAGTCCGAGCCAGTATTCACCAATGAGAAAGCTACCGAATCAATGTTTTTACTCATCCCAGCTGCGATTGAAATCAACTGATCCCTTCAGTCTCTTCTGTATCAAAATCTACCCTCCACTGGCTGTTGTCTGTTCACAATATACATCAAATGAAGATCTATCGTCAGGATAGAATGTATAAACACCGCTGATTCCTTGATCGCCTTTGTAAAGCTCAGCACAGTTCCTAGGTTTTGAGGAAAAAAAAATTAATGTATGGCCCTCGATTATGAACATCAGGGAAAAAGAATGAAAGAGAGAAAGGAGAAATGATATAAGATCA